AGGGACAGCACTGCACACCCCCAGGGCTGTCCCGGTCCTAGGCACGGGGCTGTGGGGACCTGCTGCTCCGAGGCCAAGTGGAAGCAATGAGTGTCAAACCAGTTCTTCTGTGAGAGGTGGGAAGGTTGCTTCGTAAGCAGGCAGAAATCATAAAAAAATGGAAACAGCTGTCGTGTTCTTGGCATGTTGTGTGTTTTATTACCTGTCTGTGCACGTTGCAATTCCCAAGAGCAGGGACAAAAGACACTGAGCTGAGCTGGTTGAAAGTGTTTTCTCACAACTGTGTCACGGTTCTGATCTCCCGCAAAAAGAATCAGAAGTGAATGTGAGTAGCAAAGTTCAGGTCTTGATCCACACCTCCAAAATCCTGGCTACCTGGGATCATTGGTTTTGTTTGTGTTAAACCCTGTTATTAAATTTTATCCTACTTCTGTCAAACACACCCCATTTACCCATCTATTACAGTGTTGGAGAGGCTATATTCACAAGGTGACAAAATACTGCAAAGGTTGTCTTTCTTTTATGCTACAATAGCCAGAGCTCATTGCAGTAGACTTTCTGAAATATCCCATACTTGGTAGCAACATCTTTTAATGTAAATCAGCCCCTTTTAATGTACGAATAATGAGGACAGAGAAAGAACATTTTACACACCAAAATATAAATTGAAGCTTTTTATGCATGAGTTGCTAAAAGATTATCAGATGTGAAATTGCTCAATTCATACGTTTGTTCCTTGATAATGCTAATGCACTTAAAAAATTAACTAACTGTAAGTAAACTAATTTGGCTTGGAGATCAGAGCATTTCTCTGTCAGTCCCTACGAGCTCAATCCCCACGGGTGATTGAAGGTCCCCACTGCTGGAGCCAGGACTGGGCAGGGCTCAGCACTGCACCAGAAACTCTTTCTGCAGGCACGGTGCAAGGACTGTGCTCACTACGAGGGCTGGGTGGACAATAGTGGGATGGAAGTGATTTTGGTTTGCTTGTCTGAACACCAAGGTTTTTTTGAGATAGTTGTAAAAAATTTATACATCAGTCACGCAGCACTAAAGAAAAAGGGTTTCTGCAGGTTGGTTTGGGTTTGTTTTAAGCAGAATACTATGAACTTTATAAATAGTAAAAATACAAGTTTTGTCAAAAACATAACTTGACAACTGTCATTTTGTTGCCCAGAGAAAATGCGAGCAGTTTCCAGCGGCTCTCAGGAGCCCTTGCCCCGCTGTCGGTGGCCGTCCTTGCTGTGGGAGCCCGACTTCCCATGCTGGCTCTGCCATCCCGGGCAGCGCCCAGGGTGTGCTCGCTGCTCCGTGGGCAGGAGCCGACAGCTAACGCAGCACAACTTCTCCTTTTAGAGCCTACTCGGTGCTTGTCCTGCGCAGCCGAGAAACCAAAATGCCCGCAGAATCTGCATGGTGCCACCCTGCTTTGCTCTTGCTTCTCTCCTCTGTGCCCCTGTGGGCAGCTGAGATTTCCTGCAGGAATGAAGATGGGGAGATAGTCGACTGGTAAGTAAATACCGTGCCAGGGAGAAACTCTGGGTGAGTAAATAAAAACACTTGAGACTAAGCCGCGGGAAGTGGGTGGGTCACTGAGAAGCAATGCAGGGCAATCACTAGTTCAGTCCTGTGAGTCTGCCTGTGAGTAGTGGCAGAATTTTGCACCGGGAAAACCAAGGTTAAGTTATTGAAATGTGATTTCATTTCTCTGAACCAACCACCGTACCGCATTATGACTAACTGCAAAATAATCACCGTTTTACACGGCGTTCATGCCTCATGATCAAAGGGAGCATAACGTGTGTAGGGGTGCCAAGGCTGTGCTCGCCAGCGGCAGCCCCGGGGGCACCGGCCCGGCCCGGGCTCCGGCACAGGGCTCACCTGGCACAGGGCTCACCTGGCACAGGGCTCACCTGGCACAGG